GGATTTCTGCCCCTGGTTTGGTATATCCAAGCAGGGGGAGACGGTCAACATTCACAGGCATTCTTTGGCGTCAAGAGCATTTTGTACCTGCCAAAGTACAACTAATGGAAGGTGTTTGCTGGCCCCATTTGCAGGGCCCACGCATCCACAAAGGCCAGTGCAAACTACAGCATGCTCCCCAAACCGAAACGTCAGAAAGGGGCAGGCCTGTATGCCTGATTTTTCGCTTCTCCAGAGTTGGTTCAAGCCCAAAGCAGGTCGCTGGGTTGGTCATTTTCAGGTATACCCGAATGTCAGCAGGAAAAATTAAAAGCAATGATTTCCCTAAGTAGACGCAAGTCTTCAAGGTTAAAAGGTGATGAGTGATGCAGAAGTTCTTGACCGTTTGCAAAAAGCGACAGCTCCACGCCGCGCAAAATGAGAAACATATTTGGGTCTTTACACTCTCTCGACGGCACATATGCGATTTAAAACTTATGTCATGTGCCAGCTCCGTTCGTCTCCGGCATGTCAAAATGCCCGATCATGTGACCACTTCAGCCCGACCAACCTTCTCCACAAGATGGAGCCAAACCTTTGGACGCCGTCAAACCAACCGTGTTCATCACGGCACGGCCCACGTGTCAGTCAGTGGGAATGCAGGCAGTTTTTCCGCTCCCTACTCCGGAGGCATGCTGTTTTCGCCGCTAGTCATCAGGCAGTGATACTTGGAAAAGTGGAGAGTTTCTCTCCTCAACCAGTTGTTTGTGCCCAAAAAATGCCAAGCAAAGGACCCCAGGAAATTGTTCAGCACGCGGCACCCAGGATGGCATCCGCGGGTCTTGAACGGATGGATTCAGCGGGGTAGCATTGCTGGATGCAGGCGGCGCGGGGGGTGGCATGCAGCTCTTCTTCCCGGCCAATGTCACTGGGGAGCCCTGGCAGGCTGGCGCCACGGGCACTGATTTCAGTGTTTTACTTGGGGCTTTTTTGAAGGAAGTGGCTTAAACAACATATATTTAAGGCTGAAACAAAACATGTGACTCAACTCTGCGACCCGTCCCATAGCTGAATCAGAAGCCTACTATCACTATCACAGCAATTTAGCTGCGGCTTGACAACTCCAGTACCCTTACGATACACTCCTTGGTGCAGGTCATGCGCCTGTCAGGCTTTTGGAAGTACTGGTCATAGGGTGGCCAGCTTTATGATTGGCTGCACAGGCAGCAGGTGCCTGTTGTTTGGGCAGGCGCGAAGTTTTCGGGGCCCTCACCGTCTCTCCATACTGAAGTATGTGAATATTGCTTTGGTTTTGCAGTGCCGACCAAGCCAACCCTCTTTTGCAATATCCATGCCTAATCAACCTCCGAGCTGTTCCCTACAGTGGATGCTAAGAGTAGGAGACCTTTGAAATTCAGAGAGAGAGAGAGAGAGAGAGATGGGGGGGGCAGAAAGAGAGAACAAAGTTTGCTAGCGATGGGCTTGGCTGCATTTACCGGCTGTGGGGTTCAGACTTCAAGGACGTGCACACTGGCGGATTTTAGCTCACTGCGGCAGGCGGATCACTGGATTTCTTGGGGGTCTGGCGGCGGCCATGGATGCGGCTTGCCTGCAAATTGAGGGGAGTCGGCTTGCGGCCCTGCCGACTTCGCCTTGGGCTTGCTTGGCAGGGGGCCTTGGTTGAGAGTCCGTCCTTTCCGGTTGGCTTGGTTCACCCTGTGCACAACCAGCTCTGGCCCCATCAGGTGGCTCCTGCAAGGCCGGTGACACTTTCTGTGAGGCCTGGGCGATTGAGCGTCTGGCGGGATTTTGAGACCCCCGAGGTCTTTCTCAATGCAGAAACTTTTCGTGCAATTGAGTTGCGCGGCCGAAATCATGTGGCGCCAGTGGATGCTTCTTTTGTTTGTTCGTGTTTGTTTATCGAATGGAGAGGCCAACTGAGTGGATCACCGGAAGATGCCTGCAATTTGCGTCCATTAGCCCTGGCATATTAAAGATGCAGTGGCCTGGCAGGTAGAAGAGATTATCGGAAGACGTCGATCGTGTGATGCAAGATCTCTCCCATCTCTAGCAAAGTGAGTTCGAGTCTTGCACCAGCCCTAAACCAACCCTCTTTGAACCCTGCATTATCCCTATGAGCCAACCCTAAGTCGAGCATAAACCAACCCAAACCATTCCAATTGCGCGGAAACATTAACGTGGGAGGGGGACCTCACTTGAATATGTTTGAGTGATGGTCTCAAAGGTGCCCTGTCCAAAGCCGAGCCCTGGCCCACGTCTGAGCCCCAGGACTCACCGCTGCGGATCACCTGTGGCGCCAAGCTGCTCGGCTGCCTTGAAAGGGGATATGGATGCGGTGGGACAGAGTGGAAGGCCCCCAACTGGCGTGGGGAAAGCTTGTTGTTGCGAGTTCCGGCTTGGCGAATCGTGTTTCAACTAGATGGTTCAATATGATTGAGACGCAGAGAGAAAACCACAGGCCTTATGCGACACAAATAAAAAGCCGGGTATGGAAGTAGGGGACAGTCACCATTCCCTTCTGACCCTTTACATGGTTGTTGGGTAGGTCCCTTTAAACAAAGTTTTTGCTTATGACTGAGATGAGATGGTAGTGGGCAGACAAGCGCTGGGTGGATGGGTTGGCACGGTGGACATGTAAGAGACCCAGATAGGTTTTAAGCTCTGAAGCTCGGGTTCAGCCATATATGTTTTGTCGGCCCAATTCAATAAACTCCGCGGGAATGGAATTGCTTGAGGGATATCTTTTCCCGGAGGGAAACAGGACGCCAGCAGTTGACCTTTCCTTTGGTGCCAGGATGGATGACAACGGGGCGGTGGACGATGCAGCGGGATCTCAGGCGAGCGCGGGAACGAGTTGTCTGGTGCATTGCTGGGAGCCGAAACACGCAGTTCAATTCATTATCCAGCTATGAACTTTTGATGACGGAATGCCCTGAGCAATGGTTGGTGCATATAATTTCTAGCTGATGTCCGCATGGTTCGCAACAAAGTTCATCAAGTGGCCCTGAGCCAAGGTAATTGATACGTGGGAGGGTCCTGGGGTCTCGGGTTCTACTGGTCTCAACCTGAGAAGCCGATGGACCAGGTTTCCGTGTGCCACCTCTCGTTTTGAGGGTTTCCTGGTGCCTAGTCGGCCATTTTCAAATATGGACGGGGAAGGTGGCAAAAGAAAGCACTGCTGGCATGCAGCCACGTTTTGCGCAACCCATTGTCTTGGCTGTTTCCGGGGGTTGGTCAGTTGCCGTTGGTGAGGTTGTCACGTTGTAATGAGTTCTGCCCATCAACGTAGGTGTCCCACGACATACCAACCACATAGCGCTGTTTTGTGAAGCGCAGGTTGCGCCTCAGGTTCTGGTTGGAAGGAAAAGCCGACAGGCTCTTTGGGCCTGACAAGTCTGGACAATAATAGCCCGCAGTTGGTTAGAATGCCTTTGCAATTCAGTCCCATTGAGCCCGCTGCACGAGCTTTTGGCCAGCCACGCCCCGATGCCCAAAGAAGCCGCAGGTCGTGAAGAACTGGCGGCTGGGCGCTGGCGCCTCAAATGACCACTTTGCTTGGGGCTACTATGGTTGGTCATGGATCCTTTCCAGTTGAAAGCAGATGGCGCACTTGCGCCCATGTTTAGTCATCCCCTTTCCATTGCACAATTGGAAGCAGATCGCGACGATTGTGCCGGTTGTTTGTTTGGCCTTGAAGTTGTACAGATCCAGCTGCCCAAGGGGTGAGTTGTTGTCTTGCAGCGCATGCTGGCCAGCAAAGATGGAGGCTTCATTCCGCCCTACATCATGTGTTTCTCCAATGTTTTTATCTTGGGTAGCAGCTTTCCTGCAAGGCTAGAATGATGCATTGAGAGTCAGAGACGCAAGGTCCTGCGCGCCTGCTACGATTCCGGGCGCCTGGCTGTCATCGGCGGCGGTGGCGGTGGCGCATGGGACTCAGCGGTCCATCCTTCCAGATGTGTATTTCTCCTTTTTTGGAGGGGGGCAAGATTTGCTTCAGGTGGCATCGCACTAGACTGTGAGGTCTTTGTCGGCAACACCAAGGCATTCTCAATGTGTTGCAGACAAACCTGGCATACTCCGCTGGCCTGCGCAGGGCCAGGATTTCCTATCCGACAGTTGCTTGCCCATTCCATTGTGGTTCTGGTTGGAAACGGGCGCAACCTCCCAGGCCGGTGGGGCACGGTGCTGTGCAGCGGTGCCCAGGCGGGACAGTTGGGTCGCGTAGGTGCCAGGGCCCTGCCATGTCTGAAGGTTTACCCTCCCAGGTTCCATATTTTGATTGTATACACCACGACGACTCAAATCCAGGGTGGTTGCTCTCCAAAAGGGGACCTCTGGGCTAAAGTCTACCTTGGGCTAATGAAGAAATTGAGCCCTGTTCCCTGAATTTCCACACGTTCCTGAATTTCCACAGGTTGCGATCCTTGTTCACTTTCTGCAGAAAAAAGTCCCTTCCTTGAGGCTTGGAGATTTGTTCCATTTCTTTCACTGGCACCGGCTCCTCATCTATCATCGGAGTGCTTCGTCTTCTTACTTGGGGTTTGGTGGGCGTTTCCAGACGCTCTTGACCAGCGAGGAAGGACTTGTTTGAAGGCGGATTATGCACGGCTAGGACCTCGAAACGAGGCACGTATTTGCCTGTATTTAGTCCAAGCATTTGTCCGGCTGGCCTCTTTAACTTGGCGTCCGAGGTTGTGCCGCCGTTTGCAGCCGTGTTCAAAGGGTAGGCCTGGCCACGACATAGCGGCAAGACAAGATTTGGGCTTGTCCTTAAATAGGGGACCCCCCAACCAAAAACAGGGCTTCCCTTTGAGACCACCCCAAAAAAGGGTGCCCTACAAACCACTTTACACATTTGGTCGGTGGCTCGGCACGGGTGGGCTGTTCAGCTTGGCGCCCAAAGCAGCACTCCAAGCTGTGGCCCTGGCACCCCGGCTGACGATATGCCAGCGGGATACGCCAAGCTTCCGCAGAATGAGAGTGGCCTGCAGCAAGCCATGGTGTATTGCTGCCATTCTCACAGCTTTTGCCGCGTCAGGCGGGGAACGAGGGAGGATGTGTTGGGATTCGGGTTGAACAGAGATTGTTTGTTTTTTTGTTTCCTTGCTTGCGTGCTTGCTTGCTTGTTTGTTTGCTGATTGGTTGGTTGCTTGGTTGGTTGCTTGTCTGTTTGTCTGTTTGTCTGTTTGTCCGTCTGTCCGTCTGTCCGTCCGTCCGTCTGTCTGTCTGTCTGTCTGTCTGTCTGTCTGTCTGTCTGTCTGTCTGTCTGTCTGTCTGTCTGTCCGTCCGTCCGTCCGTCCGTCCGTCTGTCTGTTTGTGTGTTCGCGTGTTTGCGCGTTTGTGTCATTTATGATTTTGTTTGTTTGATTGTGTTGTTTGTTTCTTTGTTTGTGTGTTTGCACGTCGATCAACCACAAAGTTCCCCAGCCCTCGAGGGACCTGCGGTACCGCTGCGGCCGGGACCTCGCGGGGGGTTTGGCCCGGCACTGGGTGCAGCTGAGCCTGGATGAAGCCACCCAGGCCTTCCTGAGGCGCCTGAGCTAATCGCCGACACTCTGGGCATGACTGTTTTACAAGAAGTCTTGGCTTTAGAACTTGTATTTGTATGAAGAGGCTGGGGAGTGCCCACCTCAACTGGGTTGGGTTTGGGAGGGGCGGGAAGGGGAAGGGGAGGGGCGAAGGGGCAACACATTCAGTACCCGGCCTGTCCATTCTTCCGGCAGTCCGGTTTGCGCCGCAGGTGGTGCGCGCGCGGACCGACGACCACAGAGCCACTCGCCTTTCACCACAGGGAAGACTGGCCCTTGTATTTATTCAAGCAGCATCATGACGTGACAGCGTAGTGGTGTAATGCGTCGGGGGGAGTGTTTCAAACATAGGGGGTTTATTGTGTGCATGCTGTACGCCGTAGGTGCTGCGGTAAAGATCCTTTAACTTGGTTGGGGCGGTCATCAGGTTGTTGCTTGGATTTTAGGCAGCCTATGTCAATTTCATATGTATATGCCAATCGTGAGTCTTTTCCACGTATCCATAGAACCCGTTTTGGGGATAAAGATGAAGCCTAGCTGCCTGTTGCAAGCACGTCTGGTTTAGCTCCGTTCTCCCTGAATGGGAGAACGCCCGTGCCTCCTTTGTGGTGGGCTCGGTGTGGTGTCTGTGTGAGCCTTGAAGCTGGCTGAGGACTCAGAAGGTCTGGTCAGTCTCCTCAAGGGTTCTCACAGGGAAGGCAGGCGGCATGTGCCGGGTTGCTCTCAGCTTTGTTTGATCCCCTGGTTCGCATATTTTTCTTGAAGCGAGCTTATGTGGACTACAGGGCCGAGGGTTGGCCTCACATGTTTCTCCCCGAAAAGTATTGAGCCGGCCCTCCCAGACAAGGTGCGGCAGCTGGATTTAGCTTCAAGGCGCCGTCTTTTGCTGAGTTTTGCGTGGACAACTTTGAGGCGTCGACCTCCTAAGGTCTTTGTACACTTTGTAGAGTGGGAGGACGCTTGCCGTGGCAGGTTCTGGGAGAGCCGCTCCTCTCTGGCATGTTTGGTACTGGCAAGGATGACTTTGTGGGTCGTTGAGACACACAGACTGATCATGAGTTTGATTCCGCTCAACAACCTTTGCAAGGAAATGTAGGGTGATGCAGGTAGATTGCCGCAGCGTTCCGGTCTGTCAGCCTGTTCTTTATCCGATGCTTCTTCTACATCTTCAACGTCCCAATGTCGTGGAGGCGTGGCTCCTCAGTGGCAAGGAGAGGATTGCGCCCTGGTATTTCGCCGGTTCCTCGGCGCAGCTTGTTCATAGGTCTGTTTCCCCGGACCCAAGTTCGGCTCCTCCAAAAGAGGTTGCAATGAGTTGGATATCAGGACCTAGTTTGCAGATTCCAGGTAGGTTGAAGGAACGGGAGGGAATCAGGGGTTGTTTTGGGATGCCGCGTGTTGTCAGAGAACGCTGCAACGACGCGAAGCCAGGGTGGGGGAGGATATCTGGGGTTGTTATGAGGCCGCCGCCTCTCCGCCAAGTGCGAGGTTTGAAGCATACTGCAGACGAAAAAACTTTGTTGCGTGAATTGGTTCATTTAGTGTCAACACGTCCACAGGCTTTGAGTTGTGGTGATGGCGAAAAGTGGCAGGGCGACGCAGTGACGCCGCGCTTTGCCGTCTCCCCGTCGCATCCTGCTTGGGGGTATGTCCACACTCATCGGAACCCGGCCGATCGGCCAAGTCGAAGGGCGATTTGTTCTAAATGATCAAGTGGATGAAGCGTCTAGAAGGGCGCAACGGGAGAGCGCAAAGGCACGAAAGGATCTTTGGAGGGAAATAAAAATCCATGCCACGGGTTCGTGGAGTGTCCGATTATTGAGAGTTTTTGTGGTCCTCCGGCCCAACAAACTCCGCCCCGACCTGAAAAGGGTGGTAAAGGTTTTTGTCAGGCGGGCACTTGGGGTTTTATGGACCGTTGAGAACTGGGGAACTGCTTGCTCTGCAGCGAAACAAGTTTCAGTGGAAAGAAGGGAACGTGGAGGAAGGACCAAACGGGAGTATGGGAAAGAGGCATGCCGAGTCTTTTTTTGCAGAGTTTGGCGGAAGTTAGGCCCCACTTTCTTCGGCCTGGGAGGGGCCCCAGGGCAGGGTCCCATGAACGCGGGGTTCTCTTCTTGAGGGTGTTTAATCGACAAACTCCGACTTGCTGTGCGCAGAAAAGGAAAGGCGGACATCTTTGGAAACCCGTTCCGGAAATAAAGTTGAAGCCGAACAGTCTGCTGCAGCCACGTCGTCTGGTTTAGCTCCCACACCCAAAATGGGTAGCTGATATGGGCCTAATGTTAGCTGAAAAGATGGCTTCCCCAAATCATCAACCCTCACAATGCGGGAGAGCATCAGGTGGGTCCGACGGCAGATTCAAACTAAAACCAAACCGCCCTTTTGTAGGAGGTATCAGTTTTGGCCTGACCAGCGCCGACTCACGCATCAACTGGCATCTCATATAGTCATGCCTTCTAATTGAGTTCGGGGCCAGGACTCCATTTGCGGCTCGTTATCACGGGGAAGCAAAGAACCAATCAAACATGTGTAGGGTTCTTCATTTTCGGAAGTTGCAACATGGAGCAGCGTGTATTGGGCTTAGACCCCGCGCAGAAACAGTTCTCCCTGCTTTGGTGCCCGCAAAGTAAGGATTCGGTTTGATACTCCCCCACCTTGACAGATTTCAAAGGGGTCTTTGGCGTTTGGCCCCCCCAAAATGGAATTTGATGCCCTTCGCCGAGTTTGGATGAGTGTCATAGGGGACCCTGGCTGCCAATCCGTGGCGCTATTCACTCACCCGAAGTCCTTTTGGTTTCCTTTTGGTTTCTTCTGTTTACTGTTGCAGACAGGCAACACAAGGCTCACATGCATAAACCAGGTGGTTTCATCGGCTGGCTTGCGTGAGGCTCGTGCAACCGAGGATCTTCAAGACCTCCTTATCGCGGATCCTGCGCTGGTGCATGTCCGCCACGGACGCCAACGCCTTGCTGGGTCGCGGGGAGATGCTTCTTGGATCAGCTGTTCTCGACGGATTGGTTTTACTTTGATTGAAGTTCCATCTCATTTGCTTGAAGTCCCTTCTCGTGGAAACAGGCGCATGAGCCTGAGCCATTGTCGTTTGCAGAGAATAGATCTGAACAAGTTCGGGGCCTTCAACAAGTTAACTCTGAGCTGTTTGAGCTTTCGCCCGCCTCCTCACCCAAACAAGGGCCCTTCCAAGCCTGCTTATGTTTGGGTCCCATAGCGCTTTCGGGCTTCGGTCTCACATCTTCGTTTTCGCTCTTTCGCGAAAGCTTTCCGAGGTTTGCCCTGAGCAGGTGGCAGGCGACGCAGCTGTTGGGGAGGTGCGAAGCCGCGGGGTCTCTGCTGGACGTGGGCGCAGGGGTGGGCCTGGTGACGGAGCAGCTGGCGCCGCTGTGGCTTGGAAGGGACAAAGCCGCGGAAGGTGGCTGGTTTTCTGCTTTGAAGCAAGGCCAAAGGGGGCCAGAAAGAGACGCCTCGCGTGAATTTGGGTCTTGTATATTTTGGGTTCTTGGGAGCTGACTTCTGTCTCAGGTTCGACAAGGTCATCGCCACGGAGGCGAGCGCGCCCATGGCTCGCCAGCTGCGGCGGAGAGGCTTTTCGGTGCTCGGCTCGGCGGACCTCGCCGGCCTCGAGGCGGGGGCGGATGGCGTGAAGGATCGGCGGATTTTGGTCGCAGGTCGAGGTCGTGAAGCAATCAGCTTAGCGGATTTGGCTCGGCTGGTCTGCTAGTTTGCTAGCTTGCTAGTTTGCTTGCATGTTATGTTTCATTTCTCCAAGCGGCGGGGGGGGGGGGGAGCACCTCAATAGGGTGAATTTCTTGGCTTCAGTGTCCCTTTTTGTAGCACTTGGAGCCGGCCACTCCAACGCAACCAGTAGACAGATTATCATGACAGGCGAAACCATGCATCCCGAGTCTTCGTGTTTAATGAATTGTTGTTTAGGACTGCTGGACCACCCCATGCACCCATAGAGACTAGGGACTTGTGAGTTGTACAATGTCCTTTGGGCGTGTTCAATGCAGCTGGACATGCTGGGTGTTGCACCAGAAGGTCTGGATAAGGCTGCACTTGTAGGTGGTGTTCCCTCCCGTCCTAAGGGCTTCTAGGGCTTCTTGACTCCTGTCACTGTTGTCTTTGCTTTTCCGTTTTTTCAGGCTCTGGCGCAGCGCGAGGGCATTGACGGCGGCTTCAACTGCATCTCCCTGGTGAATGTCTTGGACCGCTGCGATCGCCCGCTGAGCCTCTTGCAGGAGGGGGCCGATGGAGTGGATACATAGCTCTTTGCACAGTGATTTTTGTTTTGCCGTGATGTATCTTTGCGAAGCGTTGAGCTGCGGGGTGGTTGATGTGTGTTGCGTGACTCGGTTTGGACGCCGCACATGGCCATGCTCTACAATACCCCAAGAAACACCGGGTTTGGCCGGAACTCCCCCTTCTCCCAGGACCTCAAGCGGCGGCTGAAGCCCGATGGCAGGCGTATGGGTGAGGGAGAATGGGCACTGTCCAGCCAGTTCAGCTGCTGGAGTGATCGCCTGGCAGCTGTGACCTGTTGGGTGGCAAACCGTGTAAGCTAAGTCAGCCACATGTGAGCTGCAGGCGGAAGGCCCTTGCGGGTTTCCTTTGGGCGGCTTAGACATCACCTTCTTGGCCAACGTTGATGTAGTTTTTTCTTGGGAATGCGTTCAACGACAATGAAGCCTATATTGCCTGTTGCCAGGTTCCTGCATGTGTTTGCTCCTTTTGAACAGAATCTTGGCTTTGTCACTCCTTGCAAACGGCTTCAAGTCAAACAGGTCAATAGGTCTGTCGGCCCATTTGCCCCTCGTGAATTTGCTTGCTTAGGTGCGAGGGCCAAGTGGGCTTGTGGGCTTGTGCCAACACCAGGCTTCTGCTGGCCGTGGTCTTGCCTTTCAAGCCCTTTGTAGAGTGGCTTGGCTGTGCTTCCTGAAAAGCCAGGGATGGGAGGCTTTGCTCGGCCGTTGGCTTGTGGGCTGCGAGTTGAGGCACGGCATCTTCAAGCTACAGCCCACCGAGAGGCAGAGGCCCCAGAAGGCTGAGCTTATGAACCGCTCTTAATTGATGGGCCTTAAAGTCGTTGGGGTCTTTACTCCATTTTGACTGCAACAATTGGACCACTTGAATCTTCCGTCACCTGTCCAGCCGAGAGATAGCCTGAGAGTCTGATCTGAGGCTGTCGCTGGACCGGTCCGCGACCTGGGAGAGCGCGGTGGAGGAGCTGTGGCAGCTGCTGCAGTCCCTGGGCTTCAAGCTGGAGGACGGGGTGAGTTGGTGGATTTTGGGTACTTGGAGGGACAAAGGCTGACAAAGGAGCAAAACAAAAAACCCAGACTTTTCTTGGGTTGTCGGAGTACTTGGAAGCTGACCGGGGACCCTAAGACCATTTTCTAATGGGGAACTTCTGTTAGCTTCCATGTGGGCGTGATGTTGACCCCAGCTAAGCAGCAGCCTTGTGGATCGAATAGGGGGACTTGTTCAGCCCCAAGACTGCCACCCCTCCAATTGAGCGGCCAGAGACTTATGATTCCTGGGCTCCCATTCTTGGTAACTTGCCCAAGTCGAAATTGTTTTGAACCGCCTTGCTTGTCTTACAGGGAATAAGGACGTCTTTCTTTGTGGATAATCTTTCGGGGGAACACAATGGGCCAAACCAGAAAGGTCCTCGGCTGGGGCACCTTTGCAATTGGTTGGGAGGGGTATTCATTTTCGCTTTTGGCTTCTTTGGCTTTTTGGCTTCTCGGCTTCTCGCCTTCTTGGCTTTTTGGCTTCTCGGCTTCTTGGCTTTTCGGCTACTTGTTGGTTTATGCGGCTTTTGGTGGCTTTTTGGCTGTAGCTTTTCGCATCCTCTGCATTCCCAGTTCCTCTCCGGCAGGTGGCGTTTTGCTTTTGCGGCTTTGGTGGCTTTTCGCATCCTCAGCATCACCAGTTCCTCTTTATTTGAATCATCCCTTCTTCGAACATCATGGGGGAGCTCCCCCCCCCCCCCCAACCCCCCGCTACTTTTTAGATTGTTTGCAGAGATATACTTGCACCCCTATTTGAATCATCACTTCTTCAAACATCATGGGCCCCGCTACTTTTTAGATTCCTTGCAGCGGCTTAATTGCACCCCTATTTGAATCATCACTTGTTTGAGCATCCAATTCCGCGAGAAAATGCTGTAAAATACGACAATGTAATCTATGTATGTCTGTATGTATGCACTTCTTCGAACGTCATAGGGGAAGCCACCCCCGCCAACCCTCCTGCTGCTTCTTATATTCTATCGCACCCTTCGCAATGAATCATTGCGCCCCTGTTTGAATCATCATTTTTTCGAACATCATGGGGCACCCCTATTTGAATCATCACTTCTTCGAACATCATGCGGGGGGGGGCTGCCGCCCGCCCCAACCCCCCTGCTGCTTCTTAGACTTTTTGCAGAGATTTTATTGCACCCCTATTGATTTTAATCACTTCTGCGAACATCATGGGGGGGCTGCCGCCCCACCCAACCCCCCCGCTACGTTTTAGACTTTTTTACAGGGAGAATCATCATTTTGTCGACCCCGTCAACCCGCCAGTTACTTTATAGTTTTTGTTCACGATTTGTTGGTGATGCTGGGGATGTTGGTCGGACATGTGGGGGATGTTGAAAACGATGCTGGGGATGTTGACGGGCTAGTGTAAAATACGTCAATTTCGCGAGAAAATGCTGAAACATACGACACTTTACTAGCCCGAACGAAAAGCGAAAAATACAATCCCCCCAAAAAAAGAAGCAAACTCCCGAAATAAATCCGCACCCAATTGGTTGGCTGTCCATTGGCTTTCCTTTTGCAAACCACCAGAAGGGTTTTTCGTGTTCAGACACTGTTCCACTTGGCAATGGATCAACAGACCTGTTTCTTGGGATTTTCATCAACGTTTCGAACAGAACTTCAGGCCTTAAGAGTGTGACTCTCCACCCCATCCTTTCTTTAGGTGCATATTTCCAGGGTGCCATTCAGGCAGCATCAAAGCATGGCTTTGGATGGATCAGCGATACACTTGGCCAAGCATCCGAGCACATGATGTCACCCGCTCTGGCCACACAGTGTCGACTGCTTCCACCCCCCTCTAGGCACTGACGAGGGTGCCGTACCTGTGCAAAGGAGACCTGCGCCTCGGCAAGTGGAGAGATGGTTTCTGGATATGTTGTCCTGAGAAGAAGCCTTTCAAACGATTTCTTTCTGTTTGGAATGCAGGACGACAAGAAGAGAGACTGGTAAATGTGGAAGACCTGTGCGGCCTGACTTTTCAGGTTTGCCAACGTCTATTTCCTGGACGACGCCATCTTCGTGTTGAGCCATGCAGACCCAGTTTAGCCGCATCCTGCAAAGTGACTTGCCGCCAAGCGATGTGGATCGAGTTGAAGCACAGAGGAAATCGATGCTGTGCGGGTTGCAAGGCCTTGCCGCTTCGCAATGCAGGACGATGACGGAACACGTGATCACACACTTTCACAGGCCGAACAGAGCATATTGGCCTGCCCACTCTTTCGGCTCATTCTGGCGAGATGTTGGACAGCTGCTTCAAGGGCAAGGAGCACCCTCTTGGATTGTGCCCGCCAAGATGCAGAGCCACCAACGAGCGCTGTTGGTCATCGAAGGTACATGCAAGCGGAACGGACGGACGAAGGCTCTTCAAGTGCAAGTGTTGAATTTGCTGCATACCGGTTTGCTCTGCGACACACGCGCAAAGTCCGCGATGTTGGAGGCATTTGCGGTAGTTTGGGGCACACATACGTTGACAAAGCTGCCAGCATTTGTTTGAGTATGCTTGCCTAAGGCAGCACAGGCATGCTGGGCTTTGTGGAAAAGGCGACAGGGCTTTTGCAGGCTGTCAATAGCCTTCCAATGCAGCCGGACCATCCCAGTCTTTGCCATGTTCTCCAGCTCGCGTTTCAACATAGCCTGCTACCAAGCAGCATGGCGATTTTGCGCTTCTAGCTCACCAGGAGTATGACGCAACGTGGCATCATTTGCATCGACTGGAATGGCAATCCCCTCATGAGTGACGACGAGGGTCTCTAGCGAAGCACAACCGGGGTGGAGACAGCAAAAACAGCTTGGAAACAGCAGCTCCAAGCTCAAACGAACCTGGCATGAATGCTTTTTGCCGTCTCTCAAAATTTGCGGACTTCAAATGCTAATCTTTCTGCCTTCCTTTCTTTTTCAAGCAAACAGCGCCATTCTCCTTTTGAGAGTCAAGAGTTGTGACCAGGGTTAGTGTTTTTCTTTGTTGCTTGGCCAACAAGACCTGAGACTGCCGGCCGGAGGCTGAAGTACGGCTTTGGGTTTCGCGCAGAGTTGCGGCCCTCGCAGAGGGCTCAACCCCGTGCCGGGGCCTGGGGCTCGATCGCGAGTCGGGCCGGACCTTTGCAAAGGGGGGGTTGTGACGTCGGCGCCACGGCGCTCAGTCAGAGCGGCTTGAGGTCGTCCTGGCCGCGTCGTCGCGTGTGAGAGGTAGGCCATGGTCAGGCGCTGGAACCTAGACTTTGAGGCACTTTGAAGAACTGCCCGGCACCCAAGGCCTCTGCCAGCGAGCAGTGCTGCCCGGATTTAGCAGGCCCGTGAGAGAGAGAGAGAGAGAGAGAGAGCGAGAGCGAGAAGGAGAAGTTCGTAGGTTCAGGAAATGCATGCGCAGTTGATTGACTTCTTCCATAAATTTAGAGCCAGAGGTTCAACCAGAGCATTGGCAACGGCTGAGCTTCTTTCATTTTTCTTCTCGGCTGGCCTGTTCGTTGTTGCTTTGGGCAAGGTGGTGTATGTTGCGTACCATGGCGGTTTCCCGCCGCAGCTGTTGGGCACGTAGACTTGTGGCTTAGCAAAGTCATGCCTTAGTGACACAGCGGCAAGAGGCCGTGCGTTCGCTGTCCATTGCAATCCTGCAGTTGCAAGGGAAACACGGCGTACCTTGTGATGTTGGGGTTGGTGCCATTGACACTGCTGCGTCAAGTTTGGTCAAGACGAAGACATGGAACCGTGCTTGTTTTAGGCAATCGTCCTGATGCTGGCGGGTCTCGTAATGCCATGCAACTCCTTTTGGAGTCAGTCCTTGGGCATTCTAATGTGTAGCCTTGCAGACTCTTAACATGAAGCTCAACAAGTTGGAAGTGTTTGCTTGGGCCATTTCTATCAGAAACGAGAGAGCACCTCATGTAGGGGTCTGCCCTGGCCGAGAGGACACCAAGCAGTTGAGCTGCAAACGAGCCAATGGGAGGCTATAGAGATCCTATCTCAGGCTGGAACTCCAGCACCGTGGCGGCGGATTTCGGGAGCCAGCTGTTTGCACAGGCGCGTTGGCGAATGGCAACCCTCGTCATTGAGAGACCCCAGGAAAAGTCACGGCGGTCCGATTTCGAGTTGCACCCCTTAATCGATAAGGGGTTGCCATTAGTTGGACTGGACGCCCGCGGGAATCCATTGGCGATTCGCATGGCCAATGGAGCGCTCCATTCGCACATTCTGGGGGCAGCGCAGCCACCAAAATCAGCAAGCTCTCAGAAAGGGGCCCCAGAACATAGTATAATGCTCACGATGACTTCGCCTTTCAGAGAGATTCCGACCTCCACCGGCGCCGCTGCCACCACCTGTTGCATGCGGCATCGACATGGCAAAGACAAGCCATGCTTTCCAGCCAAGGGTCTCCTTCAATTCAATTCCTTCAAACTACCTGGGCAAAGTTTCGCGACCTGGCAAAGGAGGTATGCGACCTGGCCCAGCATGAAGCTTGCTTTCTTGCGGGTTTTCCATTTCAGGTCAGTGAATGATGTTTCATCCTGGCTTTCGCTGGACGTTTCCAGGGCCGGCGCTTGGCCACCCTCTTCGGCGGCCTGGGCGGCGGGCGCCGGGCTCAAACGGTGGTAGGTCTTGTTGGGGAGGTGGCCCATGTCGGAAGAAGAGTCAGAGGGTCGGGTGTGGATCGCACGTTGACCTTGTGCTTGCCCTTGCAAATGGCTGATCACTGGCTCATGGTTGATCTAGAGTTTTTGTTTTTGGTTTAAATCATTTATGGAACAAGAGCCCTCTCTCAGCTCTAAAAAGGCGACGGCATCTTGGGAACAGCTCCTACTGTCCCCCGGCCCGCAAGCATGTTGACGCTTGAGGGTGACAACCAAAACAACAACAGAGAACCAGTTGGACCTGGACCTTCCAAGGGACCGGGGGCCCAGACAGTTAGACTGGGGCTGTACTTTGAAATTGAGTCGTGTTCATAGGAGCAACATGTTTGTAAACTGGTGAAAGTAGATGTTGGTCTAGTGCACTTCCCAAGTTTGGTCTACCTTTTTATTCACAGAACTGGAGTTGTGCCCTGGTGTGCCATGGCGTTTGCAGGGCGCTGCCGGCGGAAGTGGCGCCCTTGGTGGATCCTTTCGCGCGGGAGCCAGGGAACCCAGGCCCAGCGGAGGTCTTTGGGCTTGGGTCGGTTCAGGGTTTGGTTGAGACTTGGATCCCAAGGGTTTCGATCTCGTTCTAAAACCCACACCTAGGGCTTCTGCTCAGGTCCTCTTTGAAGACATGCCCAGATAGGAGACGCTGCTTTCTGCCACGTCCTGTTGTAGGTCCCATGATGTTGGCATGTGCGTTGAAAGCTCAAAATGGGCTGCCGTGAAGTGCTTCAGACTACAAGAATGGTCCCGGCTGTCCTCCCTTCAAAGGCATTCAAACTCATTCTTGCGGAAACAGCGACCTGTTTCCATGGAGGCCTCCGCTTCCCAGCGGCGTTCACCTCTGAGGTTTCATGCCCTGAAAGTGTCACGGATGAGGCATCATTGCCTGAAGCTGATAGCAACCACGAGTCTGTGTGACACTATTGCAAGCTGAGCCACTCACTGTTTGTAGACCACAAGTAAAAACTGCGCGAGGAAGAAGTATCACGCAACAAAAACATGAGAGGACATCGTTTGAGGCACCAGGGTGCCTTCCAGATCATCCCCTTTCCCATGTCGAGACATGCAGAGTACTCGTCCGTTGAGCCACTTGAGGAATACTGGACACCAGCCACCGGGACATGCGAATCGAAGGCCTGCACTGGAGGAGAACCGTCGAATCGGTATGGGAGGGACAGCACGGACGAATTGCAGGATTGCGAACTGTTCAATACTGGAGGAACTCAGCGTGAGCCACGGTTTTGTGGAGCCCGAAATAGTGCAAGGAAACAAAGTTGAACCTATGGCCAAGCAGGACACTCCGTTTTTCCCTAACTGTAATGTTCAGGACTTCAAGCACGTTGCCAGAAACAGCCCATCAACAAAATTGTAGCTTTGCCTTCAGACATGACTGCAGGGCTGTAGGGCTGTGCCAATCCAGCTCAGGGGTCGGAATGAAATAAATCTTGCCTGGCAATAGTTGCGACGCAGCATATTTCAATATTTCACGACTGCTGCATTTTGGACTTTGAGCAAGTCGGAATGGTCAAGCAGTCAAGGAGCCCTTGAGAATGTCCGTTACCAAGTTTCAGAGAGACTTCTTGTGAGGGCAGGTACTGGCCACACTCCTTACTCGGACTTATCATCAGGAGTGGGACAGGTCAGTCACCCCTTCGAAGCACCGGGAAGTGAAGGAATGTCCCTTTGCGAGAAACTCACCTTCCGCATTGGATCGGGCTGGAGGGGGAGTGCCAGGTGGCTGGGGGAGAGGCAAGTCAAACGCAAGGAGCTGATGCGCCAACACGACAAGCGTTTAGGTGCCCACTTGTCGCTTGTCGATGGGAGATGGAGGGAGAGAGCGAGTCAAATGCGGTTGGCAGGAGAGTCATTTGGGGCTGTCACGACTGCGATGAGGTCCAAGGCAACCAAGTGTGAGACTTGACCATGAGTACGACCTTGAAGGAATGAGGGGGGTGCACAAGCCGCGTATATCAAAGCACTTTTCGGACCGGGAGGAGGGACTTACTCAATCACTGAGCTTGATCAGCTCGTAGGCGACGTTCTTTGGTTCAAAGGCTCTCCGATTGTGAGGCGCAGCTATTGCAATGGGGCTGTTCCCACACGAAGTTGAGATCCAGGCCACAGGGATATTGAACAACCAGCCGGTTCCCAAGCAAGCCGTTCCCAACGCATTGATCCTTGGAAGCGGAATGTTGGCCTCAGAGACTGTAGGCATGCCTTAGGCAGGCAACTCTGAGCCGCTGCATTTAGACAGAGCATGAAAGATCACCCCGTCAGCTTTGGCTATCTTTTGAAAGACCCAAGGAAGAGGCAGCCGAAGGGCCGGCCCATGGCGATCTCCCGCTGAATTTTCGCCCGTGCGATTGAGCCATGTGCGGGGAGGCCAGCGAGGAGCTGAGCTTCGGCCAAGTGATGCAATGCCTCACATGGTTGGAGTCCCAATGCAAATGATTCCGATCTCAGGGTTCCCAAAAAAGACTCATACCCAAATTGGGCCATCAATCCTTTGACCAGATTGAGGCATACACGGTCAGGACAACGATCAGGACAAGAGCATCATATTAAGGCGGAGTTTGAGGGTAGCTCATCAGTTCCATATCACTCCCTGTCCTTGGCACCTGCTGCGAGCTGAGAGGCACCCAAGGCAGTGTTGGCCATACGCAGGACGGAGATTCACAACTGAAACCGGCGGTTTTTCACCCCTAAAATGGGCGGTGGTTGCCTCTGGTTTCCCCTTGGACCAAGCTGAAAGAAAGCCTAGCCTCAACAAAACACCCTCGCGGGTCACTCTTCGACTCTTTGGGGGCTGAGGATCCTGGACGTACGGCCGGAGGCGCGGTTCCTCCGCGGCCACCTCCGAAACGCCTACAACGTGCCCTGGGAGGAGATCCCGAGCCGTGGCTTCGAGCGGCTTGGAAGAAACCAACCCCAAAAAGGGTATGTATCATCAAAGAAGCGCACACACCCACACAAATCCACCAGGAAAATCGGATTGGGATCGTTGGGATGGCAGAGAGCCGTTGCTGGTTAGCTTGATGCACTAAGTTGGGTTGACTATGTTTGGGGCGTTCTGTCGCATCTCCCAGCAAAGCCCTTGCCCCTAACTCAGTTTTTGCAGAGATTGAGACAGGCATTGCATTTGGTTGTTTCTCATGACTGAAACAGTGGGCTTTGATTGTGGCATGCACGGGAACTGGATCGAGACCCTCGCGACACTAGTATCCCTTTGCAACATGAGCCACATGGTGCATGCCACGGTCAACGAGGCAAGTGGACCGGGGTTGTCAGGGATGGTCATCACCCGTGTAGTGGGGGGCAGGTGCCTAATTTTTCGGTGGCGCATGGCCACAACCTTTACAAGAGGGATGCACCCATGAAAGCTCATGGCGCAACGGATCCACTACACTAGTGTATGGGATGTGGAGGGCGCCTATTCTGAAAGGATTCTTCCCCATACATTTTTCCCTTTGCACTAGGGAGCAGTTCATGGAGGGGACATAACTTCTCGTTTTTGGGGTGGCCAGAGGCTGCCGAGCCGGTCCCAGCCATTCCTGGTGTGCTGCGGGGAGGCTGGGGGCGTGGGGCCGGTGAGCCGTTTTTGAAAGTGGGCGTTGAAAGAGTCATTTTTGTTTGTTTGAGGGTCTCTTTTCAGAGGGAAACCACAAAGAAAGTGCCACTTTTTGGGTTCCTCCATGTTGCCACACGGGACATGAAACAAAGCCAGCTCCACTATAGAACATCCAGGTGCTTCCCGGAGGTTCCATGTCCCATCCTTTTCTTCTCCATGACACAGATGATTGGATATTTTCACTTTTCTGTTTGGGTGTGTGAGAAACCTCACAGGGCAACGCAAGCAATCGTTCAGATGTCTCGTTTGGGACAAAGGATTGCACACGGTTCTTGCCCCTCCAGGGCTTTCGTAGCTGATTCTGCCCAAGCATCACAGGTGCAAGGGAGGGTGATGCTGTCACATCCTTCACTCTACAAAGGGATGCGACTCCAATAGGATATGAGCTTTGGTCCACGCCAGTTCCAACACCTGCATGATTTGTGGTCGACTCGTTTGCCCTCGGATCAAAGCACAAGACTTGACGTACTGCGAGGAGCAGCTGGTCGAGGTGAGGCAGTGGTTCGAGAGCCGCCTGAAGCCCTGGAGCGCCACGGTGCGCGAGGTGCCGGAGGCGAGGTCGGGGTTTGGGTCAGTTGGAGCGATGGGAGGGTCGCTTGGGACAGTCTGAAGCTTTTTTTTTGGCGGGGGGGGGGGCGGCAGCACATGGCAGGTTCTTATTGCATTGGCGCGACGATCTGCGGTGATGTGAGGAGAATGGACAATAACTGCGGTCCCAATGGCTGTTAGTGAGATGGGATGGCCTCATTCTCCTTCTGAAAGACACCTGCGGTCTCGCCGTTTAGCATCACTCCGGCTCAATCCCGGTCCTTTTTTCCATTTTGGCAATCTGGCGGTCAGGATGTGCGAGAAGAGACGGGGCCGAGCCCCCCAGGCCGCTTTCTTTTCTCTCCCTCGCCGCTGCTACAGGCCGGGTGTACCAGCTCATGGGTGTGTGTAGATGATTTGAGGACACCGAAAGGAAACCACACATTGGCTCCTAGTTTTGAACAAACGGATGTGGATGTGTCTTCATGTGGGACACCCCGCCCCGTTTGTCTGTGGAAGCCACAAGGCAACCTTGAGAGAGAGGTGTGAGCATGTTGACAGGCAGCCCAATGTTCAGGCTTGCCAACGAGAATCCACACTTGAGCGAGAGCAATCCCTTGATCGCACCGGCTGGCTTATCGGATTCCTGCACTGAATGCAACCCCTGCCCCCAATTGGATAGCCATCCGTCATTTCACGGACTTCCAGTAGAGATTGCAGGTGTTGCTGCGCTCGAATAATAGTCCGTATTCATCATCATTTAGTATCGTGCAGAGATGACAGAGCAATCTTTTCCGACCAAATCCCAATGTCGCTTGGGCTACAATTTCCTTGCAGGCCCTTTAGGGAGACAGGACTTGAACAATTTGAACCTGGGAGTTTTCTTGCCAGGTGCTTTAATTTTAATCTTCGGGGTTGTTTCTTCTCCGGAATTGGGCAAAACCATACGAGGAGGCTCAAATACATTGCACGAGCAGTGCAAAGCAATGTCTTGGCATTTGGAACGCTCTAGGCAGACCCAAAACCAACCCAACCGATTTGTGCGGGGTCTCCGATCGCCAAGCCTCCGAAGGAGTCCAGGCGCCTGGCTGCAGAGCTGAGGGCGGAGCTCGCGTCCGGCGGTGGCGAGGCACGTGTCGCTTGCGTCGCTCGGCGCGCGTCATTTGGGGTTTTCCTCGGACAACCTTAGACAAAGCCGTGGATGCAACCACTGAAACGGTCTTCAAAATGGTGATTCCTAATGTTTTCGGCAGGGTCCAGGTTTTTTCCGGTTTAGAGGTGGGTTCCCTAGGCAAGAAAGACTGGCAAGTAGAGGGTGCGGATCTTTTCCATGGGTGTTTCTTGAGGTAGCCCTCTCCGGGTTTGCAGGGGGAAACTAGAGGGAAAGGGGGTGTTGCGGCGTGGGGGTGTTGCAGCGTGGGGGTGTTGCGGCGTGGGGGTGTTGCGGCGTGGGGGTGTTGCGGTGTAGGGGTGTTGCGGTGTGGGGGTGTTGCGTTGTGGGGGTGTTGCGGTGTGGGGGTGTTGCGGTGTGGGGGTGTTGCGGTGTGGGGGTGTTGCGGTGTGGGGGTTTTGTGGTGTGGGGGTGTTGTGGTGTGGGGGGAGGGGGGGGGGGGCGGGGGAGGGGGGGGGAGTGGGTAAACTGCGGAGTGTGTCAATCAGGGGTCAAGATGATTAGTTGGGGGAATCAGCGACATGCGAGGATTTTTCATCGTGGCTCCATGGTTCATTTGGATGTCAAGTGCTTTCAACATTTCTTCCTACAGCTGGCGATTTCTTAGCTTGCCGATGGTTTGCTGGCTTCCTTGCTAGCGTCCTTCTTGTTCCCAATTTGTGTGAAGCCACGTCACCCACCAGCAGCCATTCTCAGCTAACCCCCCCCCCCTTTTTCTCTTCTTTCTTCTCTTCAGATAACTGAGAGACTCACCACCGCCAGGCCCGAGCACTGGATCTCGGCTGCGGCTCGGGGCGGGACGTGCTGGTGCTGGCAAGCAGTGGCTGGCAGGCTTCGCGGGTGGGCGTGGGCCAGGGGATGTCCCTGGAAATTCCGGTGGCTTTTCTATGCGTTCCCTTGTTGGGTTGATCTAAAAGGGAAACCAACCGTTTTGTGGGTCCCCCCATTTTGTTTTAAGAGACAAACCCAAATGTCTCTTTTTTGGACTGAGTTTATTTCAAGTGTGGGCTAGAAGGGGCCGAAGATCTCTCTGAAAACACATCGACGGAAGGGTTCTGCCACGGGCCCTCTTGTGTTGTCACAGTGTCACTGATACATTATACTAGTGGCGAAACTTGTATGGATATCCAAACAGCTGCTCCAGCGAGATTGAGTTGTTCCGCCTTCAGTGAGCAATCTCAGCTAGGTTTGCTTAGAGGTAGCTGCTGGGCGTCGGTCACTGGAATAGGTTGCCGGCTGATGGGTTCCCTCTATGCTGTCGATCGGGCTTGCCACCAACATACGACCTGCCGGACTTGTGCTTGAAGCTGTTGTCATCGATCAGATTGCAGTCGAGGGTCTCGAAAAGGACATCTCCAAAATCGGAAGGTCCCCACGCGCAAAGAGAAAAGGGCTCCTTGAAATCCATCCGCATTTCCGAGCCCTGAGGTGTGGGCCCTGGATCGGGACGGCCGGGCCCTGGAGCGGCTCCGGGCGCTGGCGGCACGCCAGGCGCCGATCTAACCCGACCTTTTGGCTGGGGGGCGGGTGTCTGCCTCTCAGAAACAATAATTTTGGCCAGGTGTTTCGGTGTTTCACAGGCTTGGAATCCAGGTGCATGATGCGGGCAGGGCTTCCAGCACGACCTTGGCCCAGGAAAGCTATGGTGGAAGCCCCAGATTGTGTCCGAAGAAAACAGTATATACCCTGCCATGTGTCATATTTGGTGCCTGGGTTCCGGATCACATCTTACCACGATTTTGAAGCCCCTTTTCTGATTGGTTTCAGTTTTCCGGTGCCGTTCGGCGCAGGGCTGCCTGGAGAAGTGTCGCACCGTTTGCTGCAATGTGGAGAGCCCGGAGGACCTCCTGGGGCTTGACAGGCCGCACAGTGGTGGGCATGGCGGGAAGCGTTTGTTTTTGCCTTTGGGTTGCTTGAAACGCCGAAAGGCAAAGCTTTTTGGAGTCTCCGACTTCCCACTGACACGTGGCCATGGCGATGTGAGTCTTAGTGAAGGTGGCTGGAACTTTCAACAGAATTGTAAAAGGGCTTGAATGCGACCTAGCCGCAGGTGAGCAGGAACATGTGCTTTTCATTTTTCCCCAAACAGTGTGTCTACACTAAGGGGTTCTTACGGTAAGAGAAAAGGCCTTGGTGCCAGATTGATGTGCCCGCTCTGTCCGCGAGCGTGTTGCGTGGTATTTACCGCAGATTCGTGCTGTTGCTTGATGTCGAAGTGCGTTTCGACTGCGCAGGCTCGCACAAAGCGAGGTGTCGACTTCTGTCCGCGAGCGTTTTGCGTGGTATGTACCGCAGATTCGTGCTCTTGCTTGATGTCGAAGTGCGTTTCGACTGCGCAGGCTCGCACAAAGTGAGGTGTCGACTTCTGTCCGCGAGCGTTTTGCGTGGTATGTGCCGGAGATTCGTGCTCTTGCTTGATGCCGAAGTGCGTTTCGACTGCGCAGGCTCGCACAAAGTGAGGTGTCGACTTCTGTCCGCGAGCGTTTCGCGTGGTATGTGCCGCATGTTCGTGCTTTTGCTTGATGTTGAAATGTGTTTCGACTGCGCAGGCTCGCAGAAAGTGAGGTGTCGACTTCTGTCCGCGAGCGTTTGGCGTGGTATTTACAGCAGATTCTTGCTTTTGCTTGATGTTGAAGTGCGTTTCGATCGCGCAGCCTCGCACAAACTTGATTTTTTTTGCCTTTTTTGGCGGCTCCAGGGACCGCGGGGGTTTTGTCTCGTGGTCCGGCGGCACGGGTTTCCGGCGAAAGGTCCCGGGCTCGATTCCCGCCCTGTCCGCGCGAGCTTGTTTCCCTTTCTTTGAGCATGCTTGGATGGTGCTTCTGTGCTGCGACGGCTTCTCGATGGTAACAACAACCAAACAGCAACAGCAACAGCAACAGCAACAGCGCCACTAGCTAACTCACTAACTCAGGCACCCTGTTGAAACAAACACACAGATCTTGCCTTTTGTAGTGATGCTTGCGCAGCCATGGGCGCAATAATCTTGGCGACGCTGCTGGAAGCCGCGCCTGCCGATGTGCGCGCGGAATCCGAGCATCTCGGGTCATGTGTCTTGGGAGACCTTGCGGCTGCGCAGGCGGGTGCTTTGTTGGAAGGTTTATCTTCGGATCGACAGGGCTTATGGACGGCGTGCAAGAACGCAGGGATTAGCCGGAAACAAGGTGGGAGAAGTTTGCAGCAGGAAGAGCTTCGGGCGCTGGCGAAGGACAAGCTTCTCGCCGTGCTGCCGGCGGTTTCATTTCAGGCTCTTCTGGACTACGCCGTGCCTGGCGAGATGGGGAGGGAACTCCATGGAAGAGTACGAATTTTCTTGCGAGATGCTTCGCAGGTCGAGACAGGCAAGTTTGCAGAAGTGGCCGCAACCCTCTTCTGTGTCTCCGCTTCCGAGTTGGAAGTTTTGCGAAACAAGTTGCAAAATGGAGGTCCTTTGACTTTTTTTGCCTTGGAGGCTAATGTCAACGGTGGCGAAGCGAAAATCACGCCGGCTCTGCAAGGCTTTCGCTATGAGACTGCCACTGGAATCCATGCGGCTGCGCTGGCCAATCAAGAGACCGCGCTCTGGGACGCCACGGCAACCTTGCTGACGCAAGAGTGGCAACCTCATAACGCTGCCAAAGACTACGCGTCCGTGCTCGGGCAGCTATCTGCCTGTGCGCTGTTGGACTGCCACGCGCAAGCGCAGCAAGAGACAGAGTATTTGCACGGTCGCGTCTTTCAGTTGAACAATGTTCACATGCCATTTCCACCGCCAGAACACCTTTATGAAGACCGCATTTACTGGACCGCTCGTATCCGCGTCTGGCTGCTTGGACGTGGGGATTCGTCAGAAAGCAGCGTCTCACCTCGCTGGCCTCGACCCATCCGGAAAGGAAGCAGTCCAGGAGTTCGGTTCCCACTGTGCCGCTGACACTTTGTCTTGGCCGTTGCTGGCCAGTGTAAAGATCTTGGCCACGGTGCGTGATGCAGATGTCGCCGCGACAAGCTCAAGACAGCCAGTCCGGAATGAAGCGGATGCGCTTTGTTGTGGTGGAAGCAGAAGAACAAGACTTGAAGCAAGAGGCCACGCAGCCTCTTTTGTCTCTCCTGCAGGCGTTGACGCAGATTCCACCAAGCACAGATGCTTTGGTCACCGCGAGGCTGTCAGAGTTGATGACAAACAGTTTTGGAGTTTTTCAACTGGAGCCAAAGGTTGTGGATGCACGCCTTCCCGGCTTACTTCAAACATCATTTCACGTGGAGCCAGTGGATGTGGATGCACACCAGGCCGGTTCCCTTGAGAGGGAAGGAAAACGCCGTTGTCTGAGTTGCAACAAAGCCCTGGTCCTTTTGGTGTCCTCCAAGCGCACCGAACAACAAGAAGCTGCCAGCGGGCTCCGTTTGGTCACCAAAGACATCATCGATGGTTTAGCAGAGGCGGACGCTGCCGCGGCCGAAAAATTCACAACTGTTCATAACTTGAAGGAATTCGTCTTGGACCCACCTCGGACGGGCAAAAAGTTGCAGTATGCCTTGTGGAACAGCTGCAGCTGCTGCGTGAAGCAGATGTTGACGTGGCCACGAAGTGCATGCGGATAAAAACAGTCGCGTTCTTGCGCCCCCCCGTACGTCGTATTTGCTGCTCCACACACTATTCATGCACGACTCCATGTGTTCCTTCCTCATATTCCTTGTCTTACTGCTTTTCCATTCCTCGTGTATGCACTCAACGTGTCATGTTCCTTGCTGTTGCACTGTATAACTCGATAGCGCCAAAGGGCTCAGAGATCTTGCGTGGTGGTGGGTTGTTGCACTACCTGGTTGTCCGCACACGTGCACTAGCTTTGCTTCGATGGCAACGCGGTATTTGCCTAGAACTGCGGTTCAAACATACTTTCACAACTGCATCGCGCCAATTCCTCTCTGTGTCTGCATGTGTGCCTGTATGCGCGTGTCCCTGCGCGTGTCCCTGCGCGTTCCGGCACAAGCTTGCACGTGCGCCGCTGGCGGTTGCGCAGGGACAGCCGATGTCCAACCTTGTGCATAACCAATCGGTGATGCAGCGGATGCGCTGTGTTGTGGTGGAACACAATAAGAAAAGTAGTTAGCCAGAAGCAAGCGCAAGCTGGTTCTTCTCGACACAGCCCCACTTCAGCTGCCATGCTTTGCTCGCGGAAAAATGCAGTCGCGTATTTGCCCCCTACTCTGTAATTTACTCATCCACACACTAGTTACGCACGAAGCCGTGTGTTCCTTCCTCACATGCCTTGTCTTACCTCCATGCTGCGTGCAACAACGCTCCTGTGCGTGGAAGTCGTGTCGCTTTGGCTCAGCTCCGTCCTTTTGCCGCCGACACTCTCCGTACTCATGCCTCGACGCTGCCTGACGCATCCGAGTATCGTTGACGCTGAGAACGCCGCGCTCTCGAACAACACTGCGGCTGCGCGTGAAGATGACGCAACGCGCCATGCCTGCTGGCCGCTTGGAGACACGCGGTGCTGCCAATCTGCCGGGCTTTGGACGAGCCCGCCGGAAGCAGCCAAGTCGTTCGCCACAGTACAGCTCGCCCCAGCAGAAAGCGCAGGTATTCGACCGCCTGCTGCTATGTACCCCGTGCTTTGCGCTCAGGCCGCGTGTCTAGGCGATGTCTGTTTGTTCTTGCGGCTCATGACGACCTGCTGCTGCACGTTGCCGCGTCTGGATGCAGCGCGCCCGTGCCGTACGCCAAGAAGTAGAAGCTTACGCAAATTTTTATCCTGGCAACACGGCTGTGGCTGCCAGGGTTCTTGGCGCACGATGTCATTGACGTGCGTGTGTCTTGGAATGCGCCCGAGTGGATCCATGCACAAATCCGCCTGCCGACTTTCTTTGACAACTCTTTCCGCTGTGCAGACGAAGCTACCATGCAACAGTGGATCGACCAACATCCGCGCCTTCTCGGCCTGCCGCCCCTCGCAGCGCTGCGCCGCATGAACTGCCTCGATAACATGGCGCCAAATGAGTTTGACGCCTTCTTGTGCGCCCTGCGATCTGGGAGCGCGCGCTTTATGTACACGCCTGCTGTGGAAGGGTCCGAGCCAGACAGCCCAGTCTTTGGGCCTGCCTTGATAACGCTTCTGTGCTGCGAGAGCTTGCCACTAGCACTCTGCGTGCGCCGCGTCGGCTGTTTGCAGCAACAAGCTACCACGCCTTGACCGCAGCGCCTTTGCATCTACCAACAGACTGGCCTGCTGCGGCTGCGCGCAGTGCCACGCATCTATCCCAGCAGCCCTGTCCTGCGATTCTGCCGTCTCACCGATATGTGCTGCTCATGGAAGAAAAAACGAGCATGCCTGCTGGCCATGCCTGTGCGCCTTTTTTCTTCTTGGTGCTGCACGTGTCTCTACTCCCACACACGTGTCCTCGTCTTTGTGAGTGTGCGCGCAAGTACCGCAGAATGATGTTGCAGCTTCCTGACAACAACCGCCATTTTGCGGCGCTGCCCGCACAATACTCTGCAGCGTGTGACCGCCGCCTATCACTGTGTGGGGTCTCGTGCCGGGGTCATTTTTTCTCTCTCTCCCTCTCTCTTTATCTCTTCTCCCAACCTCTCTTCAACGCTTCGGTGTTTATGCCGAGTGCATACCTTTTTTCTTTTTTTCTCCGCAGTTTCGGCTTCAGCGCATGTCTTGGGGACACTTGTCCGTGGGAGTGTCAGGGTAACCCTTCTGGATCTTGATCGCTCTGCCTGGTTTGGCGGGCAAAACCTGGTCGGGGGGGGGGCTTGAAGGTATATCCGGAATTTGCACTTGTAATCTTGACGAACCTGGTCTTGCGTTGCAGACAATAGGGGGTCGCGAGAGCATTTATGTGTACACACACACACATATATATATATATATACATATGTGTGTACAGGGTATCAATGCATTGCGCAGTGTACCTATGATTCTTTGACGGTTTCCCGGCAGTTTTCTTTCCAAATCTACCGCCAGTCTTTGGATTCGTAGGCAAGCGACAAAGTTCTACAAATAGGCTGCCCAGTGCTACCTGTGTTTTGAACCCTTTCGCAAAGAGGCCGCGCGTTGCTTTGCGCACATTGCCGCGTGTGGCGCGCAGCGGCACACACGTAAATGCATGTTGGTTTATTCTGTTTCCTTGCGTGAAGGTGGGTTGGCAAGTTGGATCTGGCAGCCCCCCCCACCGTCGGATTCTGCACGAGGCCAGGTGGGTTCCATCTTGTCATGGTGAATCGTCACCTCCACCGCCCCACGCTGCCGGAGTTGTCGGAGCTGCTGGCGCCGGGCGGCCCGCCCGGCGGAGTTTAGTCCAGCGGTCAGAGTGTCCTCGGATCGGTAGTGTTTCGGAGGATTTTGAGTGCTGGGAATCGATTCGTGGACATTGGCCTTGCTTCACTCCCGTGCTTTGCGCTCGAGATGTAGTTGTTTGTTCACCTCGGCCGTTTTAGCTCAAGGCTCAAGGGTCGGGCTTGGTTGTGTGTCAGTGCAGTTGTGGGAGCGCCCAACTACTGCATCAGGCCATAGCGAAACAGCCCGCACAAAGTTGCCCTGTTCGCCGCAAACTGGCGAAAGCCCTGATTGCGGCATGGAGTGTTGCAAAAGTCAGCGCATATGTGGCACTTCTGTGATTGTGGAGGTCAACACGCCCTCTCCGGCATGGAATAATTTGTACGACGGATTTTGGTACCGCAAGGAGGACGGTAAATTCATGTGCGAGATCAACCAAAGACAGCTGTTGATCAACAGCCTCTCCACGCTTGCACTTCGGGAGGTGCTCCCTGGCACGCTGCTGCTCCGCATTAACGAGACAGATTTTATCGGCCAGGTGTCTTTCGATGCGCAGGCTGTAATCATTTGGAGCAACGGGGAAGTCTGGTTGAGAAAGTGAAACCCATCAGAATGGGCGGGCTTTTTGCTAGACAGACCTGATTGTGTGAGTGTGTGCGTGTCCGCACCCTCCTCTTCGCCCAAATTCGGAGATTACTCCGATGTTCGATGCCAAAGGCACGTGACTGAAGTGACTACCAGAGGTTGCATTGACTAATGAGGGACTGTGATCGACATATTCTGTTGCTCAATCGCTTATTACGACTTAGTGCTACCACCTCCTCTGGTAGCGACAGTGCAGCGTTGAACTCCATTAGCCACCTGCTTTGCGGCCCGGTGGTGTGTTGGAGACTGGAGGCTTGGGCATGAGGGAAAAAGCAGAGTTTGCCGCGCATTGATGGGACATGCAGATATGCACTCCATGCTGCCTGTGCCATTTTTCTGTAGGCCTAACTCAAGGTTGACGGGCGCCGCAGCTTTCAACAGCAAGCTGCAAAGGAGCGGGCCACGAGGAGCATTCTGGGACAAGGGACAGGACGGACCGAAAGTCATGTAGGGCCACGTGGCTGTGTCGCAAGATACGGGATCTCTTGAATTATTATTTGTTCTTGGTTTCCCAACATCCACGCCACCATTTGAGGGAGCATGTTTGTTTCGAGACCTTCCATCACACGCAGAGATCTACAAGTGCTGGGGTTCTCCAGCAGAGGAGAATTTGCCCCTTAGCAGTTGTTTGAATCAAGACCGGCACCTGCGTATTTGGGAAACGCTCCACATCCAGCTTACGTGCCTTGAGCAAAGAGCCATTCTGCAGAGCACACAGACCCATAGATCCCGCAGGTGACCCAGAGGTGACCCAGAGGTGACCCAGAGGTGATCCAGAGGTGATCCAGGTGATCAGAACCGTCCATGGCTTGGCCAAAGTAGCGACTTCAGCCCGTCCGCATGCTGTGCGGTGGGCCGAGCGGCCCGGGATGGAGTGGTGCGAGGCGGACATGCAGCGGGCGCTGCGGGAGAGTTTGGAGAGCTCGGGGCCTCGGCTGGGCCAGCCACTGTCGGCCCAGACCATGCGGGACATGGGCATCTACTTCGAGAGCCAGCCCCCAGGCGCTAGGGGGAAGAGAGGAAGGGAGGGAAGGGACGACGGTAGGAAGGGATGGGAAGGGATGGGAAGGGAAGCGGAGGGAAGGGAAGGGAGGAGAGGAGAGGCGAGAGTGCTTCCCTGTGATTGTCCGACTTCCAGAATTTGTATGCAGAAATCATCAAGGCGCTTGCAAAAACCCTCAGTTGGCGCGCAAGGGCTGACATTCACTTAGGAGATCCACCTTGGCTGTTGGACAGTTTGACACCACAACTCTATCTGAGTGCATTTGATGGTCCAATGCAAGGCACTGTGGCAGCTTTTTCGGCGGCGCTCTCACACATTTCAGACATCAGATTGGGGGTGAAGCACCTCTGAAAACAAGTCTTACTAGATGTGGCTAAGTTCTTCAACACTCGAACGCCCGTCTTGACTCCGACCAAGCTTTTGGTGGAAGCCAAACTTCAGTTACTGCCTTTCTGCACAACAGAAGCTGATGTCTTAACATTTGGTTTCTGCTCATAGCAAAGAATGAATAGAAGGTCTTATTTGCGTCCAAGTGTCCCTGGTACGTTGTCCATGACGGTGCGAAAGGATTTGGTGTCTTTTGCACATCCGGCATTATGGGGATGCGGAGGTTTTGCAGGGGTCACCGGATTTCCCTGTACGTTTCGATTTGCAGGTGAGTTCTGCTGGACCCCTCTTCGGAGTGTTGGTGACGGCGGCTTTGGTTGGTGGATCTGTCAGGCTCAGACACTTGCGGCCTCAACGCGCTGAATAACCTCTGCCAGCGGAACATGTTCTGCGTGGAGGAGGGTGAACATGTCGGTGGTTGGTTAACCTTTTGAGTCTCGGTGTCATTTTTCCGCTGTTTTTTGGGGACCCATTTAGTGTGTGGGAACCAAAGGGAAACCGAAGGAACACCAACCATTTAGGAGTTCTTCTATTTGAAGACAATCCATGAATTCATTTCGAGGGCTGTCAAGAACGGGGCTTGTGTTTTCGATTCCCCGCTTCGTTTTCTCTTGTGCCGTCAGATCCTAGCATCTGGCTATTTGCAATCAATATGCTGATCACCTGTGCAACTATGGACTTTCACATGACGTAGGGATCCCAGAAGCTGCGAGGTACACATTGAGGTATCAGGCATGCTTATGAGTTAACAGAGAATAATTTCCTGGAGTTTTCATCTCAGCGAAGTATGTCCAAAACGGGTTTGTTGTCCAGCGACGTGTTCTTTTTCTCCACCAAAAACATAGCAGAGGCTTTGTTGTGTAAGATCGCCTGCAGATAGCTTCAGATTTCACAGACAAACTACAGGCAGAGATTGCACAGAGAGGTTGTGCGCGGAAATGCACAGGGATTGCTGCACAGAGAGATTGTGCAGATATTGCACGGAGAGATTGCACGAACAGTTGGCGCAGAGAGATGTCACAAAAGGACTCAGAGAGATTTCGGGGAAATGCTCGAAAACTCTAGCTCCGGAAGGCCTGCACGACATCCTCGACATCCTTGAGTCTATCACACGGTCCCCCAAATCTGAAGGTCAACCTGGAAATGCTTCCGGCGCAGGACCTACAGCAGGCGGAGGTGCGCCACGCGCAGCTGACCTCCGGGGGGAGCTTCGCGCAGCGCCCGGCGCTGAGCGACGCCCCCAGCGGGTTCTTCGACGTGGAGGACGGGCCGGAAGGGGCTTGGGAGGCTGCAGCTTTCTTTTTTCCTCGTTTTTTCGCGGGCTCGGGGATTGTTGCAGCGTACACTGGGGTGCCTTTTTGTTCTCCCTTGCCGCTGTTACTCAGGGACGGCGTATCAGAGTTGCCCGATACCTCCGCGCTTGCAACCACCCTGCTTCGGGATTTTATCGGCTGAATTGTTTGGCAATGTTGCATCGGCGGTTCTGTAAAGATTTGATTTGGGTCTTCCCGAAGTTTTACGATCTTATGGAGGGCTCCAAATGATCATCCAACTCTTTGCAAGGACGTGATACCAGGAGTCGAGCTTGGTCTTCCTAACCTGGACTTTCCCAGATTGGTGCGTCCCCCTTGATTGACCTTTCAAACCGAAAGAAGCTGCCCTTCCTCTCACAAACATAGCATTTGTTGTCCTCTTCAAGGGATTTGTCTGGGTGCCACCGCGGTGTGGGGGTCGGGAGCCCGAGGCCCTGAAAATTGCAGCGGCGCAGCGGGATTTGGAGATTGTTGACGTGGAGCCGGTGCCAGAGTATAGGCCATGAGTAGACAAGGGGCTGCTCAAGGGGATGCGTCCATCCCAAGGCCCTCAGTGAAGGCTGTTCAAAAAGGGGCTGCGCTTCAATTTGGGACCACCAAGCCTTGGCTGCAAGTTGAAGCCTTCAAAACCGTGCAAGAAGGGGGTCACGCGCAATTGCCACACGGCTGGTGGAGTGAGGGGCAGAAGCGGCGGCTGTTGGAGCTATGTGGAGTGTGTTTGTGACAGTGTGTGTGAGTTGATCCGGTTCCGTTGCGAGACTGGGGAGGTGGGTGGTGTCGGCCTCGGTGTTGTTCGCGTTGGTTTCGGAGGCAAAGTGGAGCGCACGTTTTTGCGAGACACCTTTGCCATTTGCAGGAAGCAATGGCAAAGAACAGCAACAAAGTAGGTTTGTTCCAGTTGAGCAGCGCCCAACACCCCCATGGGCCATTTGAATAGGCGGTTCAACCTGGTTTAGTAGGGATCGGATATTTACTAGTCCCTATATAAACCTTGCTCACCATGTCAGTAGAACCCAAAGTGAAAGGGGTTTGGTTGCTCTGTCGGCAGGCCATCGCACCGGTCTCGTCGCAGGGGCAGCCGCTGCTATGCCTTCGCGGAGGCAGCGCAGAGCTACGGGGACGGCTCCTTCCTGCCGCTGGGGCCGAATAGAAATGGGCGTCGGGGTGTTTGTTCCACTGGAACCTCCCCAAATAACTTCGACTTTCCGTTTGGATTCCCTTCAAAACCACCCCAAAAACCTAATGGATTGATTGATACTTGCTGCACAGGCCATTCTTGTCCAGCAAGCTTGCATAGATCCCTGGTTGATTTTGACAGGAAGTGCAAGCTATTCGGGGTTGCGATGTCGAAGAATGTCGTGAAACTCCATCACCTCCCCCTTCGTGGCTGGTTGTTAAAAGCGAACACCGGTGAACCGCGGGTGAGTTCAAAAGAAGGCCAGGGGTGGATATTTGCGGAGATCTGCAGCAAGAGCCGTCAGCTGTCCCAAGCATCCATCTTCTTTTTTGGATTGTTGGGTTTCATTCTCGCGCAAAAGAGGCCCCAAACGGGACCCATGATTTTGCGCACCTCCGCTTGTCGATTTGGGCATTCTCCGCCCGAAAGCGAAGCGGCCAGGCTCGGCTTCCTGGTCTACGACCGGCAGCCTGGGC